CCCAGCATTTCCTCCCACAGGGCCGTGAATTGTGGGTAATGTAGTTTTTTTTTTTTTAAAAAACCCCCCCCCCCCCTTTTTTTTTTTTTTTTTTAAGTCGTTGTGTTTTCTCTTAGGTTTTCAGATTAAGATTTTCCTCCCCCGGCTGGAGCTCGGTCGGTAGGTTTGGTAAAAGGACGCTCTCCTTATTTGCAAAACCTGTAGCCCTAGGCTGGCTGGGCTGTGATTCAAGCAACTAGAAATGCAAAGCTCTCCATAGCAGCGGAGGGACGAAGGAGTAGCTGGAATAGAGAGTGAGAAGCGTCTGAGGCAGCAGCAGCCTGTGGCAAAGTTGTAAACTCCTATTACAGACAGTTTTAGCTTTGCTGGCTGGTCCTGCTGACCATCGGCCAGCTGAGGATCCGAATTTCAAGCGTTGAGCACCAGGTGAGGTGCGTGCGTCCAGCTTTTCGGCAATAGCTGCTGTACATCGAGCTCTGGGTACGCGTGTCCTCCGTGACTAGTTTCTAGATAGGAAACCTGGGGCACCGAGAGGTAAAAAAATTGCTTCGCTGGTGCCACTTGCAGTGCGGTATAGCAGCGCAGAGCGAAGTAAACGTCTTTTAGTCCTTCCCACCCCGCACTCTCAGCAGGCTTGATTAGCTCACGCAGTGCCTGGCGTTTTTCAACACTGTGCGCTTGCTGTCTGCCCTCCAGCAGGTAGCAGAGACCGGAGCTACTGGGTGATCCTGACAAGTGAATGCCACAGGACGAGGGGAGGCGGATTTGCTCCTTTCCGCCCACAGCAGGTGGAAAAAACACAGGATATTGTTATGGTTTTCTTCTGCACGTTTCTCAAAGCATTGGTTAAGTATTTATTTTAAACTTCCCGGTCTCTGTGAAGGGCACAATGACAGTCACTAGCCCTGCAACAGATATAAAAGCTAAGAACACACTCAAGTTACAAGCAAGCAACTTACTATCACATAGTGTAAGAAAGAATGAAACAAGCATCTCCGAATGAAATATCCAGTTGCTTCAGCAGCCTCCAGAAGGTGCTGAAATCCTTTGACATTTCCAAGACTCTTTCACACTTTTCAAACAAGCTTGTCGCACTTTCTCAGAGCATTATGAATCTGGTGAAACTGCCTGTTCTGCAACTCTAGTTTCACTGAAGCTTAGGCAGGTCTTGCTTCAACTTGGCTGTCTCTAGTGTTCTGGTCAACTAGGAAATTGAATTATCTCATTCTAATTAAACAAGCTTTTCATTCCCGGCTGGAGTTTTCTTTGTTTTTTGGTCGTGCCTGTCTCCATCGCGCTGCTGTGAGTGATTAAGGCATGAGCACACTCCACCCCGGAGTGGCTGCATTAAGCCGTGCGCAGAGCGGTTCCTGTGCCTGAGAGTGTGGTGCTCGCTGATGGAATTGCTGGAGAGGTGAGGCCAAGTTGTGCTAAGTAAGAATTAGGAGTGTCTGGTGATGCTGTGCGTTGTGTTTCCTTCTACTGCTCCTTCGATGCACCTCCGTGTCTCATCGTAGCACGGCCATGCTCCGTTCTCACTATTTCTCCCCCCGGTATCATGGCCTGCATTGTGCCTCCTTGCCCTTCCAGCACTTTTTCCAGGTTTACTGAAAGACAAGGTCTCCCCTTCACCGCCTGAGCAGCGGCAAATAAAACCAGCCCACCAGAGGCTATGCTATGCTGTGCTAATGGGCTTGACTGGCACTGCTGCGTGCGCCATAAATACTGCAGAATATTATATTTTATTTTGGCCAAGCTTTCTTTTTCACCCCTAGAAGAATCCCACCCAGGAACGCTGCAGCTTTGCTTGCAAGCACTTTGGCTGCAAACGCTGCTTCTTGGCCAGCCGCTGCTGGAGGCTGGGATGTGCCAAAGCTGCCAGTGAATTGCGGAGAAAGGGGACGTTGCTGTCCCTCCCGTCCCACCCGCATCTCCAGCGTGGTCAGCGTGGCCATGCCAGCAGCTGACGCCGGGCATGGCCGCAGCTACGCCGGGAATTGTGGCCGGCAGCTCCCAGCCCCGGGGACTGCAGCACTGCACGCTCCCCGGGGAGCGCAGCCGGGGCCGAGCGGACTGGGCATGTGGAGCATGCCAGATTTGTCCGTCGGGATTTGTCCGTCTGGGCGTTCTCCCAGGTGCTCGATGACCCGTGTGGATCGGGTGTCAGGCCTGGAATAGCCCCGCCAGAGCAGGGAGCCTGTCTACAGGTTTAGCGGGGATATTTATAAACCCTTGGTTTTGTGGCTGTTTTGCGAGCAGCGCAGAGGGACGGTGCTCGTCATGGCCCCAGTGCAGGGATCGGGGACGTTTCCCTCCTGAGCTCCGTTTCTCCGGCTGGGACCAGCGGTGACAGCCCGCCTGGCTGCAGGAGACACCAAATTGCTTTTCTTTCCCACTGCACTTTAGACAGGGGTTTGCTGGGTCTGCATCCATCCCGCGCTGCCCTTCCTCCCCCGTCTCCTTCCCGCTAGGAACTCGTGCTTGGGTGTGAGACTGAATTCTCGCAGGGAGGCCGGGGCAGCTCTGTGTGTAACGCAGAGAAATTCCCTCATATCAGTGTCAACAGAAGAGACAGGCACCAGATTAAATTAACTCCCAGGGCTTTCAAGGTATTTTTTTCCTGTGACGGCTCCTGAGGAATATGCTCGGCAATAGCCCAGCATCCCCAGCACGGGGCTGGACAGGCGGGAGAGACGAGTCTCCCTATTTCTGCAGGCTCCTGGCCACCAGCGCTTTAACCCTCTGCCCAGCGGTGTTTGCAAGGAATCCCACACAGCAGCAGCCCTGCATAGAGCAGGAGAAATAGGGAGGTCGTCCAGCAGGGAGGTGACAGCTATAACCAAGTTAAAGCAGTGATGACGGTCATCGCCCTGGCTGATGTCAGGTGGGCTGAGATTTTCCACGTGCCTCGGAGCCGGGCAGCGGGATGAGGGCAGCCAGATAGGGACAGGGTGCTGACTTCCCCGATAGCGTGGGAATGCCGCTGCGCAGCCGGTGATCGGACAGGAGCTGGTGGGTGTCGGTGATGTGGCAGCATCCGTGCACGCTCCCAGGCTGCCGCAGTCCCAAATGGTACCGGAGCCAAACGGGGTTGTGGTTTATGGGCTGGGCAGGGGTGCCTGAGGAAGGGATGAGCTCTTCCCCTGGCTAGGGTCATCATTGCAGGCTAGGGACAGGTTCCCGGAGGGTGTGATTCAGAAATAAGTTGATGTATATTGTTTTCCTTTGATTCATTAGGCAGGGGGGAAAATATGAGCAAAGCCCAGGGGTGAGGACTTCTCAGGACCTCCGGCACTTGCTTGGCCGAGCACTGCCCTCGCCTCTGGCCAGTCTGTCTATCAGACGGGCACAGGCTGGATGCATAGTTCGTCTAGAGGACTTTGAGAACTGTGGATAAAAAGTGCAAAGAATTGCAAATTTTTTCTTATTATCTTAGAAAGCCAAGAACCACCTTTCATTTAGCACTTAAGCTCTCCAGTGCATTTTGAACCTGGGTGCCTGATTCCCAGGGAATAGACGTGTACAAATACTGACCTCAGTAACTGGACATTTGGGTAGGCAAATGTCACTGGCACCAAGAGATGTGCCTGTTCTGCTCCTCGGTGTAGTATTCACCTTTTCCACTTCTCTGTCCATGGGGGATTTCCAGCCTATTTGCATAGGAATGCATAGGAATAATCCCGTTTCTTGAGCATGAGTGGTGTGGAGTTGCGACAGCCCGTTGCCCAGGGAAGGTAACTCGGTGACGGCAGCCTTCGGGCAGGAGGAACCGAGATAGACGGTCTCTCCCAGAGGTGCTTGAGGCTTAGACCCACACAGCTGCGGTTCAGGGACTGTAGTAAGATTATTCAGACCTGTAAACTGAAGCTGTGAGCACAGGCGGGATGTTCGCAGGGGCTCACCAGCACTAGTGATCAGGGGGTGGTCTCAGAAGGGTTCACCCCAGCTGCGGTGGGGAGCTGGGAGGCTGACGGCAGCCGCGCACAGACAAAGTAATGGTGGTAGGAGGGATGGCAGGTCTGCCCTGTCCTCTGCAGGAGGACTCCCCAGGGCCTGGCATGAGCCCACGGCATCCAATCCCCACTGCGGGAAGCCTTCCTCCTCCCCGTCCCGCAGTGCCCGCTCCCCTGGGGCCGGTACCTGTGCCGCTTCTCACATCCGCAGCTCCGGGACGCGGGCATCGCCTGTCACCTGCTCTCAGCATGGGATCTGCGATGCTGGATGACACGGCAGAAACATGTGCGGTATCGAGGCCAAGCTCAGCGCTGGGGGCAGGGGGATGGGAATTCATTAGCGGTGTCTCTTCTAATCAGGAGGCAGGTGCTGCTTCTCCTTGGGTCCAGGAATGAGGTGAGCGATGGAAGTCGCCGCAGGGGTGCACACTGAAAGGGGAGAGAGGATGCGCCTAGTGATGTTTGAAAGGAATCCATACCAGGGAGAGGAAGGTGGCATCTAGGGTGCCCTCGCAGAGGGCGAGGTGTTGCAGAACAAATAAAAGGAGAAGATACCCAGGGAAAGCCCGTTGGGGGGGAGCCCCTGGGTGATGCCCAGCCTTGGAGCTTGCAAAGCCAGGTGGCACAGCCCACCGTAGGAGCGATGCCAGCTCCCGTGGGGAGGGGGGATGCCGTGATCTCCTCCAGCTCTGACTCCGACACTGAAATGTGAATTGTAGTCCAAAAAACTACATTTCCCAGTTTCCCTTGCAGCCCAGGGGAATAAGCAATTGGAAGATTTAAATAGACCAGGCCAGAAGCAACCAACCTTTGGCACAACGCTTTTCCCTCCTCTTCTTCCAATCTATTGGCTGTTTAACCTTTTTCCCTGGCACTGGAGTGGCTGCCAAGCCTGGCATTAATTTTCCTTCCAAGCTTGCTAGGCCCATGAAGTAAACAGCCATGTGCATTCCTTACTCTATATTTAACAGCTGCAGTCTGTGCTGGGGGCAACTGCAACAGAGGGGAACCTTTGTAGCTTCCCAAATTCACGGCTCGTGAGGGTGGGAGTGGGGGAAGCTTTCTGCAGGGAGAAGAGGAATTTCTCTCCTTCCCGGTATTTGCAAAGCAGGTTGCCTTAGAGAGAGACTGCAATGCCAGCATCCCAGCCGCGGTCCAGGGCAAGAGACAGGAACAATGTCCTCAACCGGGCTGAGTTCCTCTCCCTGAATCAGCCCTTGAAGGGGAACCAGGAGAGCAGGAGCTCCGGCAGAAAGCAGAGCGGCCAGGCCGGAGCAGCTGGTGCCCAGAACAGCAACCCCAAGGAGCGGAGGCAGTCGCAGCAGCTGCCCGAAGAGGACTGCATGCAGCTCAACCCCTCCTTCAAGGGAATCGCCTTCAACTCCCTGCTGGCCATTGATATCTGCATGTCCAAGAGGCTGGGAGTGTGTGCCAACAGAGCCTCCTCCTGGGGTGGTGCCCGCTCCATGATTAACCTCCTGGGGATAACGGGGCACGGCATCCCCTGGATTGCGGGTACGCTCATCTGCCTGGTGAAGAGCAGCACGCTGGCAGGCCAAGAGGTCCTCATGAACCTGCTGCTAGGTGAGTGGCAAAACCTCCTTCCGCACCGGGAAAGCCCAGCCCTGGTCACAAGGGACAGCGGCACTGGGACTCCTCCTCTGCTCCCAGCCACCGCTGTGGTCAGGAAGCAGGGAGTGACCTTTAGGGTGAATGCTGCACTTCTTGGCCATCTCGGTCCTGGGTACCGTGGGTGATGGATGTAGCAAAAAGTTGTCTAAGAGGGATGGAGTAATCCTGGGAGCCGGCGGCAGCTGTGGAGTAGGGGCAGGTCCCCGGTCCTGCATGGGGTAGGGTTGTCCAGTCAGACCAGGGAAGCGTCTGGGATGTGCAGGTGGATACCAGCAGCGATGTCTTTTATTTAATCTGTGGTCATCTGCCTTGGTGGTGGGGATAGGTGGGGAAAACACAAAGATTTTAACCTTTGATATCTGGACCAATTCCTGAGGATATCCTTGAGAAAAAAAGATTTCCATCCCCTCACCACCTTCTTGAACGGACCCTGGCTCCACGTCTCAGCCGCCGCGTGATGGAGTCCTGTCTCCTTCCCTGCTGCGGTTTGATCTCGCATCCTCCTTCCCATGAGGACCTTTCTTGCTGCTGTCCCCATTTCCATGAGCTAATTTGACCCAGAGGCTGTGCGGACAGGCTGGGATCTTTCTGTCTCTCCTTTCTTGTGCGGTGGTCGGTATCCTTGTTTCTGGAGGTTGGGACGTGTTAAAGGAGTTGCCTTCTCAGCTGAGCAGGGCCCATCCCACCCGTGTGGACCAATGTCCCACGAGTGACCAGGCTGAGCTCTAGGCGTGACTTGCCTTAGATCCTGGCCCCAACCCACCCGGGCCATGTCTGCCTGAGGACCTTGCTCTTCTCGCTCTTCTGCCTTTGGCATGGGGTCCAGTTATCATATTTTTCCTTGTGACTAATTACTGTCTCATCTGGCCATGATCCACCCTAGTGTTGCACCCTCCCCCAAAAAAACAGCAATCAGAGCTCCCGCTTTTGGTTGGTAAGAGAAATTGAAAACATTGGATTTAGGCCTTTGCTTCTCAGGGAGCCTTTTGAGGGGACACAGGGATATTTTATTTCACAGACACGTCAGGAAAGGGACGTCCTGTCCTCAGGGGCCAACTGTGATGCGATACAGGCTCTGCAACGTGGCCCCAGGTTTTTGGGTTTTTTTCACAAGTTCATCCTTCGGAGAAGGCGAAGATTGCGCTGAACTGGCTTGAAAAGCACAGTGTTAGCTGCCTTTTCTCCCCTCTGCCTTTGAAAGAGACTGTCCTCGTGCTGTGACATCTAATGAAGGGAGGCCATCGCGGGGAAGAAGCCAGAATAGCATCGGCGTGATGCAGAGCCTGCCGACGTCAGCAGTTCTTCCAGGGGCTCCTCGGTGCGCTGGGTCAAGCTCTCACTGAGAAAAGAAGCTCCATTTAAAAGGGCACGAGGATGAAATAGTAGGTGACTAACACCAACCGGCACAGTTTCCAGATGTCTCTTGACCCGAGAGCCTTTGACGGTTCTGGAGCCTGAAAACTGACCTCTTTGACTCCAAAATATTTGAGATCCTTATAAAGAACTAACACCACCATTGGCTTAAAAACAAGAAAGTTTTTCTCGCCCTTCTGTTGCCATGTGAGGAGGCCAAATGCAAAGCCACCTCCAGGTCGCGTTGAAACTTTGATTATCGGGCGGTCGCTGGGAGACCTCGGCCCTGCATCACTACCCGCATCTCCAGGTCTCCTGAGCTCACGTGCGATGCCTGGGGACAGCTCGGGGGGGTTCTGAAGTCTTGCTTCCTTGCCTAGACACGCGACTCCCATCGCTCTTCACCGCCTGCCAAGAAAGAAAATAGTTAAACTGTGTGAAGGACTAGTTCACGCCGTGACTTGGTGGCTCCGTAGGTCTGGCAGCCTCCAAAGAGCTCCACTTTGCCCTCCGAGTAGACAACACTGACTGGTGGGACTGGCCAAGGTGCCCTGGGCCTCTCTTGTCAGAGCTTCCTCAGCAGGACTTGTGTCACCCCACAGAGCAGATCCCAGCTGTGAGCGTGGCCTTGGTTTGATATTTAAGATTGCAGTCAGGAGCTCCAAATATCCGAGTAGCTGCTGCTGCAATACCTGCATTGCTGATGGAGGAAGGAGTCTGGCTGGGGAGCGTGGGGCTGGTGGACCTAGACAGATCCCATGAGAAGTGGGGGTCTTATGAGTAAATAGGAAGGGTATGGCATGACTACTGCATCTGGCATCCTTGGTCCCCCTCGCTGCTGCTTTCCTGTGGATGAAATCCATCAGGATGTGGTGTGAAGCCTACATGGGTAGGGACAGGTCAAAGGGAAGGGAACCTCCTGGTGCTTCCTTGGTCTCCTGGGAAGAGGGAAGTTGGGGGTGTCTATGGCACCCCTTCCTTACCTCCCCTGGCTCTCCTCCCTTCCCCCTGCTTGCTGAGAGTTTGATACATCAAGCAGAATTTCTGATGCAGTCTCTGGGCAGGGAGCCAGCCCATCATAGAGCACTTGTTTAGGAGTTGCAATCAGGCTTTCAAGGCGAGGAGACAGGAGACTGCTGAAATGGGACTGGGAACCTGGCAGAAGCACCACTGCAGATGGAGGGGGGGCACTTGCGCCTGAGGAGCTCTTGGCAGGAGCTTTGCCAACACATGGGAGAGCATTTCGGGTGAGGGGCTCTGACCCTGGGATGCTCCATCCATCCCAACTGCAGATGTTGATTAGCAACCCCAAGCAATGTTTTCCCTCCATGTTTGTCATCTGTGATGGAATTTATTGATTCTCCTTCTCATTGTAATCTTTACCAGCAAATGCCAAACAGCCAGAGAAGCACGCTCACAGCCTGTTACTGAAAAGATGGAAGAAATCAGATATCTGTGCCCACTGTAAAAATCCCTCTGCCAGAATGTGCTTTCAGGAAGACTATCTCAGCATTCCCAACCCTGGCTGTTGAAGAGTCAGGAAGAAAGTCTGCACCCCCTGGCCAAATTGAGAAAATCATAATTGAGGAAATCCCCCAGTTTTAGAGTTCATTTTATTTGTCTGCCAGTGTTGGAACGTTTAGGACTGTTCAAGCTTTTCTCTGCAATCACAAGGATATCATGAAAACTGAGGTGCTTGGAAAGTCATTTGAACCTTGCAATTGGGCTTTCAGGGGGAAAACAGATATAAAACTTTCACTAAAATTCCCAGATCTGCTTCGGAACCAGACAGAAACTCCATTAAACCCTGGGGGAAGCAGTACCTCGGTTTCTGGTTCTGATCCATCTGGTGAGGATGTGGATCCAAATTTAGTGATTCATTGACTGCAAAGCCGGCAAAGAACATTTGGATCATTGATCTAACCCACGGCAAAATACAGGCTGTAGCACATCCCTTAATTTATTCCTGTTCAATTTGTTAAGGGAAAAAACCCAAACACTCAATCTGATGTACAATTACGAGTGAGGGTGAACTTGTCAAAACCATTTCTGTATTACTGCAGTGGCAGGTATTCTCACAAGCGCCTTGCTTTTAGTTTGACTCTTCTCTTCCCTTCATTGCGTCTGCGTACCCTTGTCTCTTCAGCTGAATAGCTCTTTTAGCCAACACCTCTTCTGCCTTTCAATATTTTGGATAGTGCTCAAGTCATTTCTTCACCTCCTATTTATTAAGCTAAACAGATTGATCTCGTTAGACTGATGGTCTTTCCAGGTCCAGGCACCTTCTTACTGTGACGGGGATGGAATATGGTCATCTACCCAAAGCGGTCACTCCGGTGAAGTCCACCTATTGTGTTTAGAGCCAGATTGCCACCTTGTTTAGTTATCTGCAGCCCAGCCGTGTGCCTTTGCTGTCGGAAGGTATCTGCTTGGTTAACCCTTGCACATAAAAAACCTATTTGTGCTCGGTTTGAAATACCAGCCAACTGGTTCTGCTTTGCTCATGGCTTTCTGAAATAGGTATTCAGACTAGGAGAAGAGAAAGCCCTGGTCTTCTTTGCCTGCTGTCTCAGTGACACAGGTCCCAGTCCTCATCCATCACCAGCTGGCTCTGCATCCCGCTTCCGATGGGCGGGTTGGCTCTTTGGTGCTGTCACTAAGCATTTATCGCCCTCAAGTAAAGCAATGCGGCAGAGTGTGGACGTATCATCGCGAGCAGCGTGGCAGGCTGAGGATGGGTGGCTTGCCCCAGGAGGAGGAAGGGAGGGGAGCCCCCGGTCGCTCCTCCACTCCTGAAGGTCAGCAAGAAGGCAGTTCTTGCTCTCTCCAGACTTCTCCCTGAATACTGACCTAGCTTTAGTCTGACTGGGAACCAAGCCATGATATTCTGAGGCATAGTCCCCTGCAGAGCTGTGACTTTATCCTGAGCCATATATATATATTTATTTTAAATATATATATATATATTTATAAACACGTATAAATGACCAGGACTCTGCAGTCCCACCCCAGCAGCTTCTAAGCAAGACCAGATTGGCAGGAAAGTGGTGGGTTAGGAAGGAAAGAGAGCAAGAAATGCCTTCGCCGGGCCCCTCGAGCCCCCGCCGACCCTGCTCTAACAATACGGAGGTGCTTCAGGTATTGTCATGCTTTTCTTTGGAGTCCACGTGGTGAAAATCCAGATAGTACAGCCCGTTGCTGGTAAAGGTCACTGAGCAGATTAAACGTCCAGGCAGTACAGACAAGCTCATCCTGTCAAGCCTCAGGGCTCGGCAGCCCAGACCCAGCAGAGAGGCCAGGGAGTTGCACGGCAGATGGATCAGTCCGTATGCAGCAGAGCTTGCTAAGCCGAGAGCCCCAGAGGTGGTTTGGGGCCAGATGTGTCTATTTTTTCCCCTTTCATTTTCCTACTGGGAGGCTGGGGATTTTCTGAGCTAGGCAGGGCAGATGTTTCGGCAGGGAAGGGGAGAGCAGCTCGAGGGCTGGCACCCTGCGTGAACCAGCCCCTCCTTGGAAAACCTGGCACACGGAGGAGGTTCAGCCCCTGTCCCGCTCCCCTCCCAGCCCTGCCAGTGCCCACTGAGATCTCAGCAAGTTTG